TCGAACTCATGCGGAAGCGGCTTTAGATTCTCAGTGCTGTGCTTTAACCCGCTGCGCCACCAGGGAGGGCCAATGCTTGATTTTTTTAAAACCACTTCTTTATCCCCTGGCTTTAACTGAAAGAATTACATACTGAGCCTTGAAATTATATTGGTCCTTTTAACTATTGTTGGGAAGAAATCAGCAAGGAAAACAAAATGCTTCACCTAAGTATTTCTGGGTTTGAAAGCTGATCAGGTAGAATTTTATTTGGGGATCAATGTGTTTTTCTTTCTCTGTCATAGTGAGACTTTCTAGAATGATTATCTCCACGCTGTTAGCAGCTGAGGAACCTGTGGAGAGGCCCCAAGAGGTGAAACCCATGATTTGTAAATGTTGCTATTCCTCAGGGGTTAGCTTTTTTATAGCATTTCCTCAATAACTGTTGGAAATAGGTCTCTCATCAAAATTACTGATTAAAAGCACCTCTTTTCCCAACAAGCTAATTTCAAACAGCCCCTCTCTTTGAGCTAAGAATGAACAGGTGCTCGTTAGTTTGTTATTATTACAGCAGGCTTTGGAAAGTGGATTCTTAAATCCAGACTATGATCTTGATACCCTGATTTCCCGACATTCTTAGAGCAAATTCAGGTATTTTGCCTGCATGCACTGCCTTGGCTCTTAGCTGCATCTCTTTGACTTTCTCCTTGTCTCAGATGAGTAACCTGGTGGCCTCCCAGATAATGAATTATGCGGACATCAGCTCCCGTGCCAATGCCATTGAGAAGTGGGTGGCGGTGGCGGACATTTGCCGGTGCTTACACAACTATAATGGCGTGCTGGAGATCACCTCAGCCTTAAACAGAAGTGCCATCTATAGGCTGAAGAAAACATGGGCCAAGGTGTCCAAGCAGGTGAGCATCAGCCCATGACACAGCACACTGAGGAGGGAGGAGAGTTCCAGAGACCAGAGCCAAGACAAACATTACTAATTAGAAAATAATTAACTGAAACGAGCAGCTCAGTTGCCAAAAGAAGGTGCCAATGTGGGTAATTACTGTGTTCTTACCACCTAATTGACTCCACTCATGTGCATTTCTAGTTGGCTAATTTAGAAAGAAAACATAACCAAAACATTCATTATAACATTTTTGGGGACAACTGCAAACAATGGGGTTGACAGTCAGTTGTTTTCTGAATTAAGTAGTTAGAGACAGCATATTAATTCCAAGTGTACACAGGATGTCAGTGGATGAGCTTTTTCTCTCCGAAAATGAGGCTAAGAATACCTTAGGGCCAAAAACTAGGGACAAAGTCTCAACACTTACCATTTTCTTTGTCAAACATGTAGTAGATTTAAAATGTTGGGATAATGGCTTAGATGGGCAGAAAGATGACTTTCTAAATTTTGTTTTGATTGAACTTAGATTGCTCATGCCTATGTTTTCCTTCATGTCATATGAAGTTGCAGATTAAATCGCAATTTTCCCCTGCCTTCTCTCTGACCTTCGCCCTGGGTGTCAGTGGGTGTTTGGTGTGAGGGGAGAGGTGACTTTTCCAGCCTTGGAGGAGGCTGTTTGCACCTCTGCCTTCCATTTGTAACCTTTTGTTGATTGGTCACTGGGCGCTGGTGTAGGTGTGGTCAGGAGTTGCCGCTTGACTGATCTCATTTCCTTGAGCGCTCCTGGCTCTGCTGATCCTCAGACTCTGGGTGTGTCTGTCTCTAATACAGGTCACCTTGCCCTGTATTAGGCAAGGCCTACAGGTCACCTTGCCCTGTATTTGGCAATGCCTGCTGGACAGACTGACCCTTCACTAGTGGATAAATACCTGGGCTTTCTCAAAGGGTCTTGAGGAATTTTCCGTTTCTTGAAGTCTCAGTGGTGCCAGAGACTAGAAGATCTATGAATGACCCCATTTTTCCTCTACTGACCACTCTGCCTGCCTTGTGACCACCCATAGTTGGAGGAGGGCATCTATAGGATGTCCACCTCTAAGGGTCCACCAGGGAAGAACATATATTAAGTTGACATTTCCTCAGAACTATCTGGCTTCTATTTCTCCCTCTGAGGATACAAGGCCCCTCAGAGACACTACTTCTTATTCTGTTCTGTCTGCTTTTCTCTTCCCAAACCATCTCTACTCCTGTCATACCCTTTATCCCATCCACCCTTCCCCATTCCTAGTGATACTCCAAGTTTCCAAAAATTTGATGCTCTTAAACTCTGAAATTTTTTTTCTGTGAATAAAGCCAGGGCCTTGGGAGTAGAGCCTACAGTTTTTATAAATAGTTTTTATAAAGAAAAACTTAAAATGATGTTTGTAGAATTACATGCGGTTGTAAGAAATAATACAGAAGGGTCTTCTATACCCTATAACTTCTCCCATCAGTAACTGTTCGTATAAATCCCAGCCAGGAAATTAACATTAGTAGCATCCACCAACTTTATTAAGAATTTTCCAGTTTTACATGTACTCACTTCTGTGCATGTGTGTATTCACTTTATGTATTTTTTTTTACATGAATGGTTGGTACATCAGTACAGCACAGTCAAGAGAAAGTAATTCTATGATGAGAACTCTTATACCTATCTTTTAAAGCCTCAGTTCCCCCGCTCCTGACTGCTGGCAACCACTAATGTGTTTTCCATCTCTATAATTTTTAACTTTGTTAATTAGGAATGTTATGTAACGGGAATCATAGAGTACAAATATTTTAAGATCACTTAAAAAATCAGCATAATTTCCTTGAGATTCTTGTACATTGTTACATTTATCAATACTTAGTTCCTTTCTATTGCCAAGTAATACTCCATGATAAAACTATACCACCTGTTGTTTAACCATTCACTCCTTGAAGGATATCTAGGTTGTTTTTGGTTTGGAACTGTTACAAATAAAGTTTCTATAAACATTCATGTATAAGTTTTGTGTGAATATAAGTTTTAATTTCTCCGGGATAAATGCCCAAGAGTGCAATTGCTGATAAATTTGTGTTTAATTTTATGAGAAACCTTTCAACTCTTCCAGAGTAGCTGTACCATTTTACATTCCTATCAGTAACACATGAGTGAACATTTCCCTTACATTCTTGCCAGCATTTGGCATTATCACTATTTTCATTTTAGCCATTTTGATATCTCATCATGGCTTTATATTGTATTTGAAGATAGCGATGCTAAATATCTTTTGAGTGTTTGTTTGACATCTTTAATGAAATATCTATCATTTCAGCTCATTTTAAAATT